AGAAAAAGTTGTTGGGGGAGAGTGAGCCCTCTGTTGGTGGAAATAAGTATCTGTGTGGAGAACAGACTTTGGGAATCAGTATATAGATATAATAGTTAATATAAATTAAAGATACACCAATTCAAAACAGCCCTCAGTACCATGTATAAACAAATAGATATAAAACCTGATCTTGTCTCATGGTGAAAAAGCTACCCATCATGTTGGACAGAATTTGCAGAAAAGGATTTTTGCCTTTGCATTTCGATTCTTCTATCCCTGTCGGAAGCACCTTGCCAAATCAGTTGGAAGATTGCAGTTACCTGTTTCACTGTCCTGTATCTGATATCCATGTTGCATACTAACCTGTGGCGGACACTAGATCCTTTTTATTCTTTTATAAAAGAAGCCCAGCATTGTTTTTAAACTCCCGAGAGTTGTCTGTGTCTTGTTCCTTGCCCCAAGATGTTAAAGCTGATAGATTATTATGGTCTTGTTAGAAAAACAGCTGGATGAGACATACACTAAAATAGTATATTATTTTAGTAAGACTGGTTCTTCCTTTGGAAAATAATTCAGAAACCTCTCAAACCCCGTATTTAATCAGCAGACAACTGCTGACATCTAATGAATTCTTCTAATTTGCCAAATTATTCCAAATAATTGACAGTCCAATTAACTATTTAAAAACGTCAGCCCTACTTTTCTACAGAAATCCCGCTGTGCTACATTCTTTATTTTCCCCAGCTCTGCACAATTCTCAGCAATCAATTGAGAAGGTTGAACAATATTCTGTGTTTTACAATCTATTTATTTCTCCCCTCCTCTTCTTTCCTATTCTGAGCGGCCTAGTAAGAACAAGTTCTCAGTGCAAAGTAAATTATCTGGAGAAAGAGTGGAAGGGGTGACGTCTTACATACCAATGTCTGCGAATAAGGAGAGGGTCTAGGATCATCATTAATCTTCATCTTTGGAAGTGCATAGTAGATACTGGCCAAACTGTGATTGCTTCACATAGCTTTCCATGTGGTGTTGTAGTAAAGTAAGTGGCCATTCATGTACCCGCACATTGCCTTTATTTCCTTGTGCAAATTGTGACCACTTCTTTCATTGAGGCCAATCAGACATATTCTCTGCTGCAACGTGGTCATTAGAACCCATTTGAACTTGCTCACAGTGTGACAATCTTCTACTATCAAGTCATCTGGTAAGCATAGCTGGTATTTCAGTAGACAGCGAACAAAATCTCAGTATGGAATTGGGCTTGGCAAATGGACTTATTTTCAGGGGAGGAGGAAATGAAACAGTAGCTCATTTCCCCCCCAGGACCAGTTGGATCCTGTCATACTTGCAATGACATAATTGAGTAAATGACAGAGTCCGAATATCTTTCCTCAGCACCCCACAGTCTCTTGGTCCTACCCCATCTCTACCTTCTTTTCCCTCAAATTTATCTAACAGTGGGAGAAATAGAGTGGGTTTGTTTTCTGTAAGTCTCCCTCCCTCCCTCCCTCCCTGGCATCTTGAACAGGGGTCAGGCACTACCTACCCTTGGCAATGGCAACACTGGAAACCTTACTTGTGGACATCAGACATACCGGCAGCCAGGGCTATTTTTGGGCAGGAACGCACAGGAACGGAGTTCCGGCTGGCTTCCAAGTTGACCACACCCAGAAGGAACTCATTAGCATAACAGGCCACACCCAACAGCAGAAACTCATTAGGATTGGCTACATTAGGGGTGTGTGGCTTAACACGCAAAGGAGTTCCTGCTCCAAAAAAAGGCCCTGGGTTTTGACAACAAATAAGGTAAACAGAATAAGAAGCAAAAGGTGGGTGTGGCTGAATGACCACACTTCTGGTAACACGGGGATGTGGCCTAATATGCTAATGAGCTGTGCTGTCAGGGGTGTGGCCTAATATGCTAATGAGTTTCTGCTGTTGGGTGTGGCCTATTATGCTAATGAGTTCCTGCTGGGCTTTTTCTACAAGAAAAGCCCTGCCGGCAGCCGTGTGTCCCAGGGCTCCTTGAACGAAGGCACCATAATCCTCTTCTAAGGCTGTCATCCATAATGATGATTCTTTGATTTGGAGATAAAATGTTTTGATTTGGAAGTATTTCTTTGCAGTAATATATTTGGCTAATGGTTGTGCAAAAGAAATGTGTGAGAGAAGCCTGTCGCTACAGCCTGCGTGTGGAAGACTGTGTTTATTGGAGGACTGCAATAAATGTAGCAGCAGCCTGACCTCATTCCTTTTTTATATCTGCTGTTACCCTCTGTTCCATTCTTAGAGGGCCAGTTAGGTAGAACGTATGGCAAATGGCCCCAAAGCATTTTATCCACAGTGGTTTTCCTTGCTTAGACATCTCTTGTGTTCCATCTCCTTATTCTCTGTCCTCAGCCTGTCTTGCTTATCTAGTATAGATTACTGTCTGGGCTAGTACTCTAGTCTCTCTGTGTCTTCCATAGCATCCCATGGAATGTTGATGATAAATAAATGGCAAAAGGTAAGTACAGCGGCAGCGCCTAATGTTAATTGTCCCTTTATCCTGAACTGTCGATAGAAAGGAAGAGTCAAGACTCAAGAGAGTCTTCATGTAAAAGCCTCGGGCTTTGCATTGGGCCCTAATGGGCTCTAATTGGGTAAGAGATGAGGGAGAGCAAGTTGAACCTGGAAAATCAATTGAATAGATTGATAATTTAGTGAAATAAAGTATAGTTTGAAGTCAGCAGGAGGTCCATCCAGTGATTTGGAGTTCTGTAAGACAGAGCAAAGCAGCTGGGTCTACCAGCAGGAAGAGTAAGCATAGACAGCCCAGTAGGCACTGAAGATAGGTAAATAAGCTGGAGGCAGCAAGAAGTGACTGCATTGCCTGTTGTTCAGGTATAGCCCTTGATCTGGCTTGGAATCTTTGGTCTAGGAAACAGAAACTGATCCCGGTCCATGGGAGCAAGGACATCCGGGAAGCCGCTTCACTGAATACAGTTTCAATGCCTCTGAGCAGAAAGAATTCCTTGGTTAGAGATGCAGAGTTCATGACTCAAGGCCATCTAGCTCCGGTGATTTGAGACTGGGGGATGCACAGTGGGAAGTAAAGCATTACATTATATAGAGGGAAGTTTTTGTGCAAGTGAATGAGTTCGCAAGAATGTAGAAAGCCATTTTTTCTTAACACTGTTTATGTATTTACTTCATTTGTACCCATCTTCTCTCCAATAGAGACTCTAGGTGGTTTACACCATTCTCCTCTTCTCCATTTTATCATCACAACAACCCTGTGAGGTAGATCCGGCTGAGAATGTGTGACTGGCCTGAGTTCACCAAGCGAGTTTCTATAGCAGAGCAGCAATTCAAACCTGGGTCTTCCAGATCCTAGCCCACCCACTATACCACACTGGCTGTCAACTAGTCAGCTATAGTCAGCTATATAAATCATAGAATCATAGGGTGCGGTCAGACAGCATGCTGAGAGCGGGTTAAACTGCTCTGGTTCTAACTGGATTATATTTGATCTGGATAATCGCGATCATACTTACCTCCCTTATCCTGTCTCACCGACGCGCGAGAGTGTGTGTTGGCGGGGTTTTAATTTTTTTTCTCAGTTTGCGCATGCGCATAGGCGCTCATCTGTAGAATGGGGGGAGCGAAACTACCATGGCGCATGCGCAGAACCACCAGGGCAAATCAATCCAACCCCTCCAACAAAAGACTTCCCTTTAAACATTTGACCCGAAAATGGCCTCCGTGAGATCCCGAACTCATCTAAACTCTAAAACAAGTGACTGTTTAAATGTCGGTTTTCTAAACACGGTAGCAGAGCTCCGCCGATGCGCACACTGCCGACGCTAAAAAAAAAGGTGGGCGAAAAGCGGAAGCCTTGGGCAGCTTTCGAGCGGGGAGGGGGTTTAAACCATTGGAAGTGGCTTGACACCAGAGGAGCAATCACACAGGGGGGAAATGCGGCTTTAAATGGGAGAGCTGAGAAAACACCACTTTGGGACCTAGTAACAAAATACTCAGGGTTAAAGCAGTTTTGAGCCAGAAACCAACTGGGGACAGGAGGCAGATGTTGACTGTGTGATCGTGCAGATAAAATCCTTTGCTGAACTGTCATGACACCAGATGAAACGGCGCGTCTGAACGCACCCATCCTTGGAAGGGACCTCCTGGGTCATTTAGTCCAATCCCCAGAGGGAAGGACTCAAGACCTGGAATGCTTCTTTCAGTCCGTGCAACCTGTGATCAATCACCACTGTGCCATTAGCAACAGAAGAAATATTGTCTTTGATCTTTGACTGATGGTCATTGCAAAGATGTGATCAGGCGCTACCAGCTAATCAGTCCTGAAAGTCAGGTTCCCCCAACTGGCAGCTGTTCCTGCAATCAAATGTGCACAGCTGGACACACTTTCAGATCTTGCTTTCTGTGTGCTCAGCCTGTTGGTTGATAACACATAGGTTTCCCTTTGCTAAGATAAGAAACAACATATGGCAAGGCATATGGCTCCTATGAGACCTCTGTATACCTTGGACATGTAAGACAGCAGAGGGTAAAGCATTAGACGTACACTGCCTCATATCCTCTTGTTTTTGCAGGACACCCATTGGGGTGCGGAATGGATTTTCTCTTCAATCAAATGCATGTTGACCACAAAATGTGTCCTTTAAATGTTTATCAATTAGGAAACTTGTGATTAATGTCAAACTAATGCTAAACTGCTAGGGCTACGCTGCACATTGGGAGATGAAAATCATAAATATTTACCAAGTTATTTGTATTCTGGATGCTAATGGGCCGCTTTAAATTCTCATTTAGCATTAAAAATGACCCTGTCAGTACTGTAGCAAACATGCGATGAAACAAAATGTTTGAAGTGAATACGCAAGAAAAAAATCAGCCTTAATCAAGACAAGTTTAGTAATTCACATTTTTGGTGCAGCAAGAGATGACAGATAATTGTTCTTAAATGATTAATCATCTTCACAATCTGTTATTTTTTTAAAATATAGGTGAAGAAGTCAAGCCTTTTACTCCAGTAGAAGCCAAAGAAATTGTGATGTCTCTGAAGGAACCTGCAGTATTCTACAACATGGCTTTTGATTGGCCAGCACTTCACTGGAATGCTACTTACCTTGCCAAGCTGTTGGCTGGAAAAAGAATTCGTTTTAGGGTAGGGATGAAGGACATGGGCACAGGTAGAAGACTGAATGTATAATCTTGTTACCAAGTTCTGTATACATTCGTAAATGTTGTTTTAATTCATCTTTATCAGTATTCTGTTTTTTGTCTTGTGACAAGACACACAAAGCACTGCATGATTAGAACAATACCAAGATAAAAATACTGAGATAAAAATAGATCTCTTAAACTAATTGAAAAGACATTGAGCAACCATAAAATCTATATAAACCAGTGGCTAAGAGGTTTTCAGAATTTACAAAACACTGAAAAAGTCTAAGCCGTGAACTCTGTATTGACCGGTAAGCATGGCAGTGGAAGCTTGGATCATTTCACTGTAGATGAAAGGGATTGGGCCTGGTACCCCCTGTACGTAAACTCTGTACCACTGAGCCATGGTCCCTGAAAGGGGTAGAAGACCAAATGGGCTTCCCTGGGAAGTATTTCACAAAATGCATGCCAGGACACCAAAAAATCCTGCTCACGGCAGCCAAAAATCATGGCATTCAGAGCAGGATCTTACACAGTGACATGTGATATTCCTGAAAATATCCAAACTCAGGACATTTAAGGCTCTAGAGGTTAAAATCAGCACTTACGCTTGCACCCCAGAACTAACCAGATATCTTGAGAGATCTTTCGACTCAAGTGTAAATGTGTTTCCGTTGCCCAGTGTGAGTCACTAACTGGTGTGCTGCGTTCTAGGCCAGCTGTTATGGATCATTCTTGTACTATAGGTTTAGGGTACATCCACAAAGCAGTTTCCTTTTCACTCATGAATGCAGGAAGCATTTGGAAATATCATCACGCTTTCCCACAAGATGCTCCGTTAGTGGGATTATCTCATTTCAAAATGGTTCTGGATTGTTCATATTTTTGGGAGTTCTGTTTGTAACAGGTGGGATATCTGTTAATGATTGAGTCCACGTTCTCACAAACGTTGACCATTGCACAGGCAGCTGAAAATTGGCAAAGTTCGTGCACAGCTGGAGTTGGCAAACTGTATGATTCAAACTTTTGTGAAAGAATCAATTCTGCTGCTACGATTGGCCAGAGCAGTCAGAACAAGTCAAAACAGGAGTGGCTAGAACTCACAGGAAGAGTCTGTGGTAATAACATTATTGCTGGTTGTTAACATGGCAGCAGAACCAGGCAGTGTCTGAGCCCCAAGTATGTTTTGGTCACTGGGGGACAAGCGGATGTTAACATGAAGCAACACAGTTGCCATTAACTAGCCAGTGGCTATTCTAGGGTTGCCAAGTTGGGTGTTGCACCATAGTGGGGGACTCCCGGCTGGCATCTGGAGCGCGCGCGCATTGCGCGCACGTCACCCAGAAGTGATGTGACGACGCCGGGCACGCTGGGGGCAGGGCCATAGAGTTTTCCCTCAGATGACCATGGCCCCGCCCCCAGCGTGCTTGGCATGATCGTGTCACTTCTGGGTGACGCGCACGTCGGGGTGGGGCTCCCCCTGGGGCCCAATCGGCCAGTGGCGGGGAACGGGCCTCTGGGGCAGGGGTTTCCCCGCCCCCCAGGGGGACTTGGCAAGCCTAGGCTATTCTGTTTCTAAAAATACATATTCCTCATCAGTATTTTAGAGAATTTATGTAGCTTTGAAATATTTTGATGGAAGATACTGCACAAAGCATTTATGGAAACACTTGACATCGGCAATATAAATATCATCCTTTACCCTCTGGATTCATTTCAGGATATCGGGGCTCTGATAAGGAAACAGAGATTCATCTCTTGCTCCTAAATATTGTAACAAATCCCAGAGCTATGCACTGCATACTGCTATACTGGCAGTTATGTAGATTAAATGTGGAACACCCAGTTCTTAAAATGTAGCCCCTTGCTGCTTATGGCTTCGACATGCGCACTCATGCTTTTGGGGGTTTCTCTTTCTTTTTTTGGTATTTTTGTATTTTTATGTGCCTGTGTGTGTGTACCTGGAAGTCATGGTGACCTCTGGTGACTGACCCCTACTGGGGTCCTGGAGGATATTCAGAGAGGCGGCGGGATAAAGCCTGCCCCCGCCTCCTGGCTCTGGTATTCCAAGGAGGTCTCCCATCCAAGTACTTGCCAGAGCTGACCCTGCTTAGCTTCCAAGATCTGACGGGATCCAGGTCAGGAAGCACGCCTCCTTTTTGTAGTAGATGGAGAGAGCAAACTTTGATCCAGGCTCTCATTCCCCCCCCCCATTGATTGCGCGTGCACAATTCTGATTAGTAATTCCAGAATTTATTGGTACTTTAGAGGTCAGAAAGGGGGTAGGAGACGAATGCTTCCGGTCCCCCGCGCTGGACATTCTATAGGCACCTTTGCTACGAACTGCAAATAAGGTTTGAACAAACAACAAAAAAGATGACTGGTGACATCCAGTGAGTTTGATAACAACCCATCTGACAAAAGTGGCCCTCAGTCCACAATGATGGGTTCTACTCAGGAAAAGGGTTTATATCGTGAGGTCAAAGTCTATTTCTGTCTTCCCATCTATTATTTGAGAAATCCAGTATCAGGCACAGTCTTCTTTTTTTCTTGAAACATACACCAAAGTAGGCTAAAATAGGTCAAAGACCTCATAGGGGAAAACCCCTTCTGAGGTTACGAAGTCATTAGATGTGCCTTTCTGCAATCAAGAAAGGGGTGGCCAAACTGCGGCTCAGGAGCCACATGTGGCTCTTTCACTCATATTGTGTGGCTGGGAAAGTGAAGGGGAGGCATGCCTCCCCGATTGTTCTTCCTTTCCCCAGCCAGTGTTCCCCTTCCTGGGCAGGCTTGAGGTAGGGGGAAAACAGAGAAAGAAAGCAACATTAACTTTAAATGCGTTCTCACCTTCCCCCCCACTGGCCGGCTTGGAGAAGGCATTTGTCTCTTTGAATCCCTTCTCCAAGCCAAGCCAGCCAGCGGGGGAGGGCTTGAAATATACATTTAAAGTTAAAGATGCTTTCTTTCCACCTCTCCCTCCCTCCCCCATCTATTTGCTTTCTTTCCACCTGTCTTTCTTTCTTTCTCTCTCTTTCTCCCCTCCCTCCCTGTCTAAAGTTAAATGTGTTCTCCAAGCCCTGCCTGTCATGCCTGCCCCCGACCCGGCGCCTAGGAGCTCTGAAACTAAGGATTCCATCGGAGGCACGGGAGTCTTTGTCAAACCTAAGTACCAGAAAGAATGAGCACCAGCCTCCAGAACAGCCTGCAGCTGAAACCGATCAGGCAGTGCCTGGCCCCAGCAGCATGCCACCCGATTCTCCACCACCCGTTGACCAGCTGAGGGATTGGAGATGGCGGGACTTGGCAACCAGACGCAAAGAGGCATGCTTGCGCGGCTGGAGATCAATAAGCTCGGAGTTCTAACGGGATCAAGGACTTCGCGAGGCAGTGCTAATGAGGCACTAATGAGTTAACAACCCAGTGAGCTATTTGAATAGGTCACTGACTGCTGGCTAATCGTGCTGGCAAACACGTCCTTCGGACCAGAAGCTATGCACCTCTGACTCTGTTCCTGGTATCCGGCTACTGACTGACTTCCTGGCTCCTGACTCCAGTCTGTGTTTTGACGACCCCCTGGCTCTTGATCCTCGGCTCTGCACCTTGACTTTGACGCTTGCCTATCTGGACTCTGACTCTCGGTAACGCTCTGACTACGGCTTGGCGTTATGTATTGGGACTTTTGCTCTGGTTGTTTTGCTCTCTCTCTGGCTTGACTCTCGGACTGGACTGTGAACTCCTCCTCTCTGCCTTGCCCCCCTGGCCCTGTCATGACACTGCCACACCGGCCAGCTGGCTTGGTTCAGAGAAGGCATTTGTCTCTTTAAATCCCTTCTCCAAGCCAAGCCAGCGCGGCAGTGGGGGGCTTGGAGAACACATTTAAAGTTAAAGGCGTCCTCCAAGCCTCTACCCCACAGCCCCGCCTGCCAGTTTGGAGAAGGCATTTGTCTCTTTAAATCCCTTTTCCAAGCCAAACCAGGTGATGTGGGGGTGTGGGAGGGTTTGGAGAGCACATTTAAAGCTGTTTTCTGTGCACCTCTCCCTCCCCCATTTCTCTCTCTCTTTCTCTCTCCCCCTTCCTTCCTCCCTCCCTTATCTATTTGCTTTCTTTCCACCTTTTCCTTTCTTTTCACCTTTCTCTCTCCCCCTTTCTCCCTTCCATCCTTCCTCTCTTTCTCTCTCTCTCCCTTCCTCCCTCCCTCCCCCATCTATTTGCTTTCCTTCCACATTTCTTTCTCTTTTTTCTTCCTTCCTTCCTTCCTTCCTTTCTCTCTCTCTCTCATCCTTCCTTCCTTTCCCCTCCCTCCCCTATCTGTTTGCTCTCTTTGTTTCTCTCTCTCTTTCTCTCCACCTCTCTCTCCCTTTCGCTCTCTCTTAGACAAATAAATATCATTAGCAAACAAATAAAAATAATTGGACAAATAAATATCATTGTCAATATCTGTTTTACACCTTTTGTTTATATTTTGGCAGTCTCATTTAATGTTATTAAAAAAGCAAATTTGCATACCATTCAATCAAAACCTGTGTGTGATATTTGTTCATGTCTTGCGACTCCCAAACATCTGACGTTTATTCTGTGTGGTTCTTGCATTAAGCAAGTTTGGCCACCCCTGCACTAGAAGAATGTACAACCCACTCCAAGAGGGCTAAATTGGCACAATATACTTGTGCTGCTCTTACAAAAGGTGCACTGCTCAGTTGGTTCCTTTCATTCCATTTTTTTTTTTAAATGAGCTGATGCTTCCAAGATAGCCCACATTTTTCTGATTTACTTATTCCATTATCATTGGCTGACTGTGCTGGAGATAGCTTTTAATTATTCACTAAGCGCCCAATGAATAATTTTGTATTTCTTGCTGACTTATAGATAAATTAAATCAAAGTGCATGCTCTGAGGATCAAGGAACCAGCTGTACAACCTTTTGCCTACTCTACTAATAGTTATAATTTTGCAAATAAAATATTCACGTAAGAGACTTCATATTTCCTGACTTTTACAAATATTTGCCTTATCTCAGGAACAGGCAATGCTAAGAGCACGCTTTTGTTCTTCTCAAAAGAATTCAGGTATTTGAACTTCCTTCAACTGCACACTTTTTGTTTAATCCGTGCCATGTTTTAGTAAGATAATGCACCTTTAATTTTGGATATCAAGGGGCAGCACTGGGCTGCAGTATGTGAAAGTGGGTACCAGAATTTAACAGCCAGTTTCCACATAGCCTAGATTTGTAGGTAATACATGTGAGAGCAAGCTTCAGACCTGCTTGTTGAAGAATCTGCTCAGCCTTTTTTTGGAGCAGACAGATCATGTGCATAGGGGTCTGCTAACAAGAGCAATTTCCTATATTAAAAGTTAGGGAGGGAAGGCAGCATGCTATATCCCGATCTCAGAAGCTAAGTCGAGTCAGTACTTGGAAGGGGGACCACTCCTCTGCAGAGTGCCGTGGCCTACCACCTCTGCTTCTTGCTTGCCTTGAAAGCCCCTTCCTGGGGTTGCCCTAAATTGCCTGTGACTTGACACCACTTTATGCACACATATTAAAAGATAAAAATACGATAGATACATGAGCAGGTCCACCATATGTATTGTCTATATACCTAAAGCATGTATTTACCAGCCCCAAAGTAAGTTGAATTTCTATGTACATATTTTATCTATGCACATATCTAATCTGGGAGAACCAGGTTTGATTCCCCACTCCTCCACTTGCAGCTACTGGATGACCTTGGGCAAGCCATAGTTCTGTCAGAGCTGTTCTCTCAAGGACAGTTCTGGAAAGAGCTCTCTTAGCCCCACCTACTTCACAGGGTGTCTGTTGTGGGGAGGGGACGGGAAAGGAGGTTGTAAGCCACTCTGAAACTCCAAGTGAAGGGCGGGGTATGAATCCAATCTCCTCCTCATCATCATCTTAAAACAGCCTTGGACTGCCGAGTACCAGATAGATCTAACATTTTTAGCAGTAAACCTGATAGTGAACTCAAAGGAAGAAGTGATATCCAAGCGGATCAAACAGAAAGTGACAGTGGTAAGGTTTTGTTCTTTTGCCGGAAGGAAATGAGGCCAAATGTATGAGGATCGTGATGGCTGCAATTCCCATGCAGAGTCAGAGCAATGAGGAATGAATGCCCTAGGAGCACTGCCCGGCACACAAGAAACAAAGGCGTCCATATTTAAACAGACGAACATGAGTCGCACAATGAAGGGTAAATGATTGTTCTGTCATTACCATTCATGCAGTCCCTTGCAATTTTCTTTCCCCAATAACAATGGTTTTGGTCCAATATATAATTTTGTATGTTGATGTTGTTTTTTTGAAGGAAGGACTAGCTCTGACAAATGAAGGTCTCTGATTAGTCATAGGAAATATGTACACAGGCAAAAGCACTGCAGTCTCCCCCCACAGTATAATGAAACATAGGAGTTGAATCTTCTAGGAGTAAATGGTGGCAGTTGAGTTCACACTAATCTCAGTTTGTTAATGTGCCGCCTAACTTTTTAAAAGTTTTTAAATAATGCAAAACTTTACAGTGTCTTAGTGCTAGAACCAAATTAAGGACCAACTAAAAGAAGAAGAAGACTAGGTTTTTATTACCTGCTTTTCTCTACCTTAAAAAGGTAAAGGTTCCCTTGCTCGAAAGCAATTTCCCAAACTTAACGGAACTTTTTTTCCTGCTGCTTCATAACCGTCTGAGGTACAGTTTTTCCTGTAAATAGCTATCAATTGCTAGAAGGTTTTTCAGCTAAGACAGCAAAGCTGTTGTAATTTCATTCGTAGGTTTATAGTGCATTTAACCAGTGGTCTGAGCCGACAGAAAGTTATTGTTTTTATCTGCAAAACCGCCAAGCTCTGTTTGTTATTATTGGTGTTGTGTTCAGTGTGCATGTAATGTTGTCTCTTTTTACATTGTTTTAGCTCCTCTGTTTGAAACCGAGTGCAGTTATGTGGAAGGTACGCTTGAAGAGTTTCTGGCCTGGAGTTTAAGAGAGCCTTCTTGCTCTTCTGGACCGTTCAGTGGTTATGAGCCATGTAAATACTGGGCCTATGCTGACTATAAGTATATTGCTACACTATTTGAAGACAATCCAGAACAATTCAAGGTAAGAACATAAGAAGTTCCCTGCTGGATAAGATCAGTGGTCCATCTAGCCCACCTGTCTCACACAGTGGCCAACCAGTTCCTCTGAAGGTTCACCACCAGGGCATAGAAGCTGAGGCCTTCTCCTCATGTTGCCTCCTGACACTGGTGTTCAGAGGTTTCTTGCCTCTGAACATGAGGCTTCTTTTGGTCCTTATGGCCAGTAGCCATTGATAGACCTCTCCTCCATGAATCTGTCTAATCCCCTTTTAAAGCTGTCTGTGCCTGGGGCCATCTCTGCATCCTCTGGTAGCAAATTCCACATTTTAATCACTGGCTGTGTAAAGAAATATTGTCTGTCCTGAATCTGCTGCCTGTCAGGTAGACCTGTCATTGGTCTGGAATGTGGTGCCCTCCCGTTTTCTGTCTCAGCTCTCCCTGGCTCATCAACTGTTTGCTATCTTATGCTTGACCTTGTAGATGCTCCAGCTGCACTTTTACTCGGCTGGGAGAGTTAACGGCTTTTTGCTTTGCCTGCTTGCTTTTGCCCGCGCGCGCGAGATGTATCCATTGGCTCATGCTTACCGGGGGAGATGTTTGATTCTAGTATAAGTCAGAGGCCCCTAGTATTGGCGGCCATTCCTGACACAAGCTGTACACGTGTCTCTAGTACTGGATTTACCAATAAACAGTTATCTTCTCATGAAGCCCTGTGTCGAGTAACCTGACTAAGGACCCTGACACTGCCCACCAGCTTCATTGAATACTCTCAAGTTCTAGTATTTGGGGGAGAGGAAGAAAAATTTCCCTTTGTCAACTGCCTCCTCCCCATGCATAATTTTAAAAACCTCTATAATTTTCCCCCTTAATCATATCTTTCTTAATCTGAAAAGTCCCAGACTCTTCAGCCTTTCCGCATAGAGGTGCTCCAACCCCTTAAACACCTTGATTGCCCTCCTCTGTACTTTTCCCAGCTCTGTGATATCCTTTTTTTGCAGATATAGTGACCAGAACTGCACCAAATGAGGCTGCACCATGGATCTATACAGGGGCATTATAATATTGGCCATTTTATTTTAAATTCATTTCCTGATAATCCCCAACACAGATTTTGCCTTTTTCACCACTGCAGCACACTGGGCTGACACTTTCACTGAGCTTGCCTTCCCTCAGTGTCAGCAAGTTAACCTTAACCTATACTTGAAGCTGGGAGTTTTTGTTCCAGTGTGCATCACCTTACACTTACCAACACTCAGGGGTCATTTCCTGTAGGAGCGCAGAGGAGCGGAGCTCCAGCAGTAAAGAGCCCAGGGGGCGGGCACATGCAACAAGCCCCACCCCCTTGCTCCCAGCAGCCCTCAGTCAGAGCAAGAAGCAGCCAGGTAAGTTGCAGAGCCCCCCGGCCCAAAACAGTCCAGTGGCACCTTTAAGACCATGTTTTATTCAGCTACAAGCTCTCCCTCCTCTGCGAAGCCCCCAGGGGGACTTGGCAGCCCTAGACCCGACCTCCTAGAGAATTTTACGGGGCCCCTCCCCAAGCCTTGGGTCCCCCTCCCCCCGGGCCTCGTCACCCCCAATCGCCTGTCAGCCTTGGCACTTAGCGCAGACTGCCGATCAAATCTGGGTCAGGGGAGGATGAAGACAAATCCAGAAGAAGGAAGAGCAGAGCCTGAGTCTCCACTTGACTGGAAACCCCTGGCATTTGAAGCAAACCGTGCTGCCTCACCCTCGCCTTGATTGGGCAGTTTTAACAGTGGGTGGGCTCTACGCAACACTGATGTAGAGCCCACCAGGTACAAGTTAAGTCAAGCCGTGCCACCTGGTTTCCCTCCAAGCAGCTGCAGCAGCACAGCAGAGCGCACAGACTACAGACTGCGCCTCTGAGCCTCGCCTGGTCAGCGCCTCCTTCCTGCAAGTCCTCCTCCTCCACCAATCCAATGTCATCCCTGGCAGCCCAGCTCCCCCTTCCGGATTTACTTGGCCGGTGTTGTTATCCCCCCCCACCCCCGGTCGTCATCCTCCAGTGGGTCTGGGCCTGCCTCGCAGCGCCTATGCCGCATTTCCAGTGCTCCTCTCCCCGGCACCGCGTCAGTGCAGCAGGAGGTGGGACCAGACCAGGCAGGTCGAGGCCAGGATTCCAGGTTAGAGAGTGAGAGCAGCTTGGGAGGGGGTGTGTGTGTGTGAAAGTTGTGAGGGTGGAAATTACTATAACTCTTTAAGCTTGGGGGGGGGGGAAACTGCTGTCTGGCCTGATTTTTGTTTCTGGCTGCTGGCACCAAGTTGGCACATTTTCTGATTTCACTGTTGTTTTATTTTACTGTTGGGGTGGGTGTCTGTGGCCCTGGGGTGGGCTGGTGGTTTGCTGCATGTGAGTCCTGGTGGCCGCTGCCTATCCTAGGCTAGGTATCCTTCTCCAGGCCTTCTGCTGGTCTGGTTCTTGTTTCTGGCCTGGTTCTTGTTTCAGTTCTGGGCATCTCCAGTTGGAAAGATATGGCACAAAGTCCTTTGTTTCTGAAAGAATAAGGGTGGAATGGGTGGTGGGGTATTTCCACTGAATTTTCCTTCCTTCTGTTTTCATTGTGGCCTAGTTTGGGGCCTGGCCTGGTTCTTGTTTCAGTCCTGGACATCTCCAGTTGGAATTGGAAAGCTAATGGCATCAAGCACTTTGGTTTCTGAAAGAATAGGGGTGGAATGGACTTATTATTTATTTATTAGTTATTATTTAGAAGTATGAGCATGACGTGGCAGCTCCACACAGGTATAATGGTAGGCCCCTTGAGGAAAACATTGGCTCCCTGAGCAAAACGTTGCTAGCTATGGGGCTGCCCGTTCACCCAGTTTGTGGAAATCCTCCTGAAGCTCTTCACAGTCATAGCAGCTAACTTTGTGTAATGGAAAGTAGGAATGTAGGGCACAAACCAGGAAAATGGAGGTTTATCCCAGTTCGTGGTTCATGAGGTCACACGAATCACGAACCTTCATGAACCTTCATGAACCTCCCCATTTAACAAACCACTTTGTTTCATGAGGTTTGTTATGCATTTACTTTAAATGGCTTTTGCATGCATTCCCTTTAAATGGCTTTTCAAGTGGCACTGTGCATGAGTGAAGTCCCAAGTGGCAAGTTCACCAGTTCCAGGTGAACTCGCTGCTTGGATTTCACTTGTGTGTGGTGCCCGCTTGCAAGGGGCATTTAAAAGGAATGCTTGGAAGTGGGAGCGAGCAAAAGGGATCACTGAAATGGCTTTCATATCACTCCCCTCCCGCCTTACACCATAAACACCATGAACCTCTGAAAACCACGTGGAGGGTTGTGAGAGGGTCATGGATAGGGATGGGCACGATCCTTGGTTCACGAATCACGAACCTGCTATGTTCATCACGAAACTAGGCTCATGACATGGTTCGTGCCCATCCCTCATCCTTCTAGTCCTGCAGAACCTATTGCTCTCGTGCTTAATCCTCTAGCCGCTATGTTTTTAATTAATTTATTATATTTATTATTGTTGTTGGAACTGTATATCCAGCCTTTCCATTATCAAACAAACACAGAGAACAGCTTACAACAAACTAAAAGCAAATAAAAGTAAACATTAGATGAATCAAATGACAATTGAAGAGCAGAAAGCAGCTAAGATGATACAAGACAAATTCATGCAACAGCAGTATGTAAACCAATAAAAACAGCAAGCATAAAATAGTAAAACAGTAAGTCCTGAAATAGAACCACTGTTTCTAATAGTAAACTTGAGGCTCGCATACCTATCAGTAAGGTAGTGAGACAAAGCCATACATGGACCCAGAAAAAGCACATCCTCTGAATGAATTGCACCACTCGAAGGACTTCACCGAGGAGCCCTTATAACGTCATCCTGCAGCAGAGCCTGTGGTTGTGGAAAGTGCTGTCAAGTCACAGATACCAGGTGAAAGTGGTATCAAACCCTGGAAAGCATGGTTATCCTGTGTCCATCCCGCACCAACAAAGTGTGAACGCCAAAAGCCGTGGTTTTCTTGTGCACTTATGCATAAGCGCATATCTCCAGGTTACCAAAAAGGAAGCCGCATCTTACAGCCATGTCTCTGCCAGGGGTGGGCCAACAGTGTGAGCACTCCCTTGCGCCTCCTCCCCGGTATGCTCCCGTAGTAGTCGGTGCAGTGTGACCGGGAAAACCCGGAACAGTTTGTTCCGGGTCTTTTTTGCCATGACTCCCTCCCGCTTCAAATTGCCTGTCTGAACTCAGCCATAGATGAGGAATCTTTGATGGAATATAGATATAACCAATAAATATCAATTTAACCTCAAAGACCTATGGAAAATCTTCAGGCTGTAGACATTACGCGTTGACAAAGAACTACTGCTGCCATCTGAAAGAATTTCCCCCCTTCTATGGGCTGAAGTTGGCACCCATAGGGTATTAATATTCCTTCACTATCGCTGATGTGATGCATGTATCCTGGCCAAGATCTGGCTCTTAATTCTGCATTCTTTTATTCGATAGCATCAATAGCAGTGGTAATTTCATATTTCGGATAATAGTCCTCCATAGTAGACTGTGATAATACTGCAGCTAACTTCACAGCAAGCCGAAACTCTTACCAAAGAACACATGATTAACAGATATTCTGAGGCTAAAAGCTGGCTTGTCTGTGCTGTGGAGAAGCATTCAAGTGTCAGAACAAGACTCCACAAGATTTCTTAAGTTCGCCGTACATGCCAAAGAGACATGCATTTATTGATTTCTTTTCTTATAAATTCCCATGATTCTCTGCTGTTTTTATTTAGATTTTATTTGGATTTTTTTTCCTAAGGTGATTTGAAGGGTAAAAGAACACCAGTTATGTTTTTTTTATTTATAGTGATTAATAGAGCCATTTAGAAGTTGTTTGAAATTTAGATTGCACTGTTTATCATTTACAGTTGTGTGGCTTAAGGTAATGATTCCATTATTTTAACATATGAGCAGTATCTCACTTTGTTCATTTGATATTGCATTATAGAATTCTGAGATATAAATCAGAGGC